TTTTTTTATAGCAACTCCGACCATCAACGGCACTCCGAAACCCGTGAAAGAAAAAAGAGCATATACGAAGCGAAGTGATACACCTAAGGGGCTGACAGAGAAGAAGCGACAGCAGGTACATTTTAGAGAACTTACACTTTTCTAGCTCGAATTAGCTTGTCACAGAGATGTTAGAAGGACATTGTAAGTACTCATATATGTCAAGATGACGGTTGCGTTTGGGAGCTGAAAATCTAAAAGAAATTACAAAAAAAAAGCTTCGAGAAGGAAAAAATAGCCGACAAATTCCTTTGGAGTTGTTAGGGAGTAATATGTGAGTATATTGGGCTTCTTACAGATTTTTGCTCAGCAGGAAGAGCTTGCCTCATTGTTCGAAAACGCTAGAAAGTTCGGTGTTGATCTGACTAAATATGAGCAACAAACGCGGATACTCAATGTGCATGAGATAGCTGAGTTAAAATTGCTAATCAAGTCTTCGCGAACACAAGTGAGTTGTAGCCATTTCGCGCATGCTGAATGAAGTAATGTGGTACTCAGGAACGAGAGCAAGCTAGAGAGGCAAAAAGGATGAAACTCAAAGCCAAGCATGAATGGGCAAAGAAAAGGGATGATTTGGACTGTGATGATCTGAAGGTAAAACAAAGTCTCGTTCATTCATTTCCATGGATTTATATGGAGTGCTGCTTATAGGCACTTCCTGTCTACCCTGCTCTAACTCTTCCTCCTTGGCTGAATGATGAAGAGTTGTCTGAATATCTAGCCATACTACAATTTTTCACTGCTTTTCAGGTACGCTATAAATTCTGCACAGTTGTAGTCTTAAAGGCGTCCATCCAAAATTTTGCCCCCCATTTTTTGCCACTCTGGGGCCCTTCCGTGGTCTTGATTACAATTATGAAGTTCAAAATGTCCAAAACCTCAAAACACCCGATAACTAGGGACCCTATCTTGAGGGTGCGTAAGGCTTTCAGCACATAGGTGGGCGGAGCTTGTAGGATCCGGGCGGGGCTTATAGCACTTTTGCTGTTCCAGGCCCATTATCTCCATTCAGCGACAACATTAGAGGACCGTACCAATGCAGATACCCCTTACCTGGGGCCTAGGTAGGGGGTTAGATTTAGTCTGGACACTGCCTTCAAATAATACTCGGAGGTTTTCCTTTTATCTGGAAATTTGTCCACTAATGCTTTTTTCATTCTCCAAATGTTCGTAGTATGAACTCAAGCGAAATTTCGGATATTCATCCTACTTGAAGGCGAAATGCTTCTTGTCTCTCATTTTTTTTAACTCGCATTCATATCCCAAAATTGATGCCATGCTACCTTAAAAGATGGCTAGGACCGTTTTTTATCTTGAATATAGTAATTTTTGCATTGCCTTCCTTTGTAATTTGAATATTCAACAAACGGCTAACACATTAATTCGGGTATTGCAGGAACTGCTGCCTATCAAGGAAGTGCGAGGTATGAAAAACTAAAAAGTATACTGTAACCACAGTTATAAATGAACTTTTGTTAAGGTACGCATCGAGTAAATCTAACCGATGTCATTATGGCAATTCGATGCGCTGACCCTCAATATAGTACCTACGCTGATCTCATGAAAATTCTTCTATCGGCAAGGACTGATCGAGCAGATGAAGAAGATGGCGATGAAGGTGGCTACATTATCTCCTTCCGCTTTTTGACCATAAAATCTCGTTTCTTTCCAGCTGACTTATCCAATAAAGACGAGATTGCCTTGATACAACTGCAAAATTGTGACCCTGATAATAAAATACACGGTGAAAGGATACGAGAAATGACCTACTTACATGAAGAGATCCGATTAACACATGGTGAATATCTTTTCTTCTACAGTGAGTAGAAAAGTAATGTTTTGTCAAGGGCAATCACTACGGCATATACCTGTTGACTGGATGACTTTGACGGAGTTGATCCGGTTAGTGTTACTCACTTCCGGCTACTACACTGGGCAAAGTACGCATCGGCATCGATTATTTGCGAGAGGAAACTATA